TACTCTGTTTCCGTCTAATCCTTCTCACTATTGAAAGCTCAGCTTAAACTCCATCCTTTCCAATAAGCCATGCCATATCATTCTCCTGACAATTCTCTTTATATTTTCAAATTCCATAAGCAGTTATATTCTACACCACATAATAAATCCCATGCATTCTTTCTTGCTTTGTTCCTACATATTGAATGGATGATTTCGTTTTCCTCTCGATTCTATTGTTAAGTCCTCTAATGGTATATACTTGGTTTTCTATTTATTTCTATCACCCATAGAACTCTGGTTATTGTGGAAAACTCAGTAAGAATTCTATAAGTACTTGATGGGAGAAGACACCAGAGGCTTGTGGTGGACATCCTTTCTGAGCCATCTCTTGTCGTGAACCTCAGATTGGATGACTGGTTCAGGAATGCTCTGTCTGTAAACGGGGTTTTTGAAAGTTTTGGAAATAAATCAAGGAGAAGGGAAACTGAGGTCCAGAGAAGTAGAATGCTGTGCTGACAGCCACATAATTAGTAAGAAGCTCGGCTGGGATTAAAGCTCAGTTTGCCTTCTGGAGTCCTTTATTTTAACCTCTGCCTCTCATAACAGAAGAGAACCAGTAGACGGTGTTAAACCCAATTTTGAGGATCGGTAATAAGAGGCAGTGTAGTAATTCACTCAGAGGACTTAGCTAATAAATCTTGAAGACACTAATGAATACGTAAGTGATCTCTGTGTCATTCTTTTAACCCTGCCATTAGCCATTATGGTCTTCACTGTACAGAAAGTGAGATAAGGCAAAGAGAAGTTACATAACTTGCCCACAGGCCGAGACATACAAACCCATGCCTGTCTTATTCCCATGTTTTGTCCTTTCCCCTATACCCTGCTCTCTCTCTAAATCTCCTGAAGTTGAGCAGTGTGTGAAGTCATTACTTCAAGATTGCAAAATTCTTTTAGAACCATTTTATAGCACCACAACAATGATGATATAAACAATGAAAGATTGTCAGGAGAGCTTCAAGCACAGGGATACGAAATCAAAATTCACTTGGGGCCGGGCGCGGTGGCTCACG